TTATTTAACCCCCATATCTCAGCAACTATTGCTCTACGATCTTTGTCCCCATCCAATTCAGGAATGCTAACTGCATTTCTAGATTCATTTTGATAGCTAGGAAGCACATTTGTAGGTTCAGAATCCATCCTGCTAATAATGATATCAACATTCTCCTCGGTGATATCAGATTTCAGTCTCTTTCGTGCAACTTCAGGCGTGACAGCAGTTCTTTTCAAACGCTTTGCTGAATGTTTGTAACTCAGTGATGATAGTAACTTGAGAAGAACTTGAAGATCTGGTAGTGCTCCTCTAGCCTCATCCTGGATGTACTGCCTCAGGGAAACACATTTCTCAGTTCCTTCCTCATCACTATGGCACAAATCTCCATCACCTATGAACTCATCAACTCCAACAAAGCAACTGATCCCTGGAAGACCATGTAACTCAGCTATCTCTTTGCAAGATGAATCAACTGTTTTTCTGGAAAATTTGCTTTTTGTAGCATTATCTATTGTTGTGATAAGATTTCCAAGTGACTTGAGTGATTCCAGAATAAGTCTTAGAGACCCATGCTTAACAAGAATGTCAGCATGAAGCAATCCCTTATTCACTAATGACCGATTACAAGCACGGGGTATGATGCTACTAAAAACACTTTGTAATTCATCACTGCCCATAGGTGGCACATATTCAGGTCCATAAGCAAAGGACATGACAGCAGCTTCAGTATTTACACGGGAAATTATGTCGGCTGCAAGGGAGATGGCAGTAAACCTGCAACGATCTTATTATACAGATAAAGAAGCATAAACGTAAAAGAAATTGCAACAGTTGAGAGAACAGAACTGACCAAGAAGATGATAAACGGGGTTCAAGATGGTATGGGAACTCATCCATGTAAGCTGCAGATAAAGATGGCCTCTTGTCGGCAATGGCCAACAACAACTCCCTATGATAATCGACCTCTGTAGCCTTCAATTTCTTCATGAGATCAAGCAGCCGCTTCTCGTTCCCCTTCAATGTTAGACTAGGCATCAAGCCGTTACTAGGATCTGTGCATACCATTACCAGAACCACGTGTGCAATGTCAGCAGCACGGCCTGCCATTGGGTTTCCTGAAATGTAGCTCAACTGCTCTAAGGTGGTGCTGCCAAATAAAACACTCCGAAGAGCCGGTGGGATGAGAGAATCTTCAACCAGCACCTTATTCCGCAAAGTAGAAAGAACATATATGATGGTCTCAGTGTCATCACTTCCAAAACCGCGAAGCACCCCAGAGTACAACTCCCTCTGCTGTAGAACCCACCTCAACAATCTAGGGTTACCAATCTCAATAAATGACATGGCAAAGCCAACAAATGCCCTTCTTGTGGATCTTCTGAATCCATGCCTCTCGTCCCTCCCTTTCTTCTTCTGTATACCTGACAGCTTAGAAAGGACTGGCAGCTTAAAGTCGAAAACTTTGGCAACCTCAGAAGCTAATCGTCCACTACGCCTCACTACTGAAGCCAAAAGGTTCAGTGCCGCACTCTGCCGCCTTGAATCTTGACTACTCAGCTCGATGTAGACGTCATTCAATTTCGTCTCAACTAACAAACGGGCTAAGCTATCAAGGTTTCTACCAATTGGATCAGCCAGTGACTTCCCATCAGGGTGGTCGAGAATCACAGAAACCAACGATAATATGTGTGACATCCCAGGCTTCCCTTGGTGAAGCCTCCAAGCTTCCATGATCTCCAAGCATTTGGGAGCCAACTGTATGTACTCACGTAGGATCCCTCCACCCGTTTCCCCCTTCAACAAACGGATGAACTCCTTGGAGGCTTCCGAGTAAATTTTTATCTCCGGGGAGTGCAAGTTCTTCAGAATCTCGATAATTTTAACTCTGTATGAACTGTTAACTGGTTGCCTCGGCTCCTTCCCTCCAATTACGTCCTCCTCGTCTTGTAACTCCTCTCCTTGAGCCGAAAACTCCTCGTCATCTTCAAAAAAAATTCAAAAATTGTCAATATTTATTGAAAATAAGTATAAAAAACAAGGGAAAAAAATCAAAGAAACAAGTGAGAGTGCGGCAAAGGGAAGATAAAGAAAGAAAAGAACCATGCGCATCAGCATAACGAATGTGCAGGCGAAAGAAATCATAGAAATACCTCCGGGCAGGTCACCCGCGACGTCTAGGGAATAGAGACCGTGGTCGAGGTCTACTTCGCGGATTACTTCGCCGTCTTCCATGGAAGTGTATGGGAGTGGAGATCGAGAGGAAGAAGAACGAGGGTGAGTACCTCCTTGAGTTCGGTGATTAGGGTTTTAGGCGGTCACGGCAGGGTTTGGGGCTCTTTTCCTGCCAAGCGCCTCCCTTGTTTGGTTATTCCCGTTTACCCCCTTTCCTTGATTTCTTTTCCACGAAGGCCCCTTCTCAGGTGGCTCTGAAAGACTATAAGAGTAGGAGGCCTTATATGTAAATTGCAAAATAAAGGGTCCCTTTCAAAAATTGTCCCCCATTGAATATATATATATATATATATATATATATATGCAAGCAAAAAAAAGGAAACTATTACATGGCAAAAGAAATAGGATAACGATAAGGAATGATATTAATCATAATAAAATAGTATTTATTTCTTTGTTATGATATTAGACAAAATGGTTTTGGTCTATAAATTAGAAAAATAGTATACATTGTTTCTTTTATAATAATTTTATGAATTTCTCATAAATAACTGAATCATAATAAAATGACTCAATTAACTTAAACTGAATCATATAATTAAATAGCATCATTGCTAGACTTTCCCTGTCAACATAGAGATTAATAAAATAAATAAATAAAATAATGCAGTCAATTATCTCATTTAAAATATATCTAATCAATAAATATAAATTAGAGATTGGGATTGTGGAAGAAATATAGTTGATTATTGGGTTGGTGAAAGTTGAGTATTCTGATAATTTTATTGATACAATATTTCTGTCAATTGTATCTAAAATTAAATCATTTAAACCATCTTTATTTTCTTCATGCCATAGTTTTGTGCAAATAACAAAGGCATGTGTTGGTGATCAATGAATTATAAATTTATTATCTTCATTTTAGTTATGTAACTTATCATAAAGTTATTGATAGGCTATGTTTTGAAACACATTTATTTTTAAATATATAATTAGAAAATAGTCTGAATAAATACATAATTATGAAATGAAAACTATATTTTAAATATGTATTAGCACAAGTATTGTTTAGTAAAATTATATTTCAAAAATTCATTGATTATTATCAGATAATTTTACTCTTCAAATATTTTTAATATAGTTTTAATTTAATAACAAATTTACTTTATAGAAGACATAAATATGTTTGTTTCTCACTAAATTGTATTAGAAATCTTATGATTTTAGATTATATTATATAGTACTTTGAAATTTTAAAATATTATTAGCATCTTGAAAATTGATCTTAAGCTAATATTAAGTAATATCTGAATAAACATGACTTAAAAATATAATCAAACATCAATTTATATTTGAGATATGCATTCATTCATTCACTTTATCGTCCAACCATTCCAATCTTTCATGCAAGTGAATTTGTTTTGATTGACTACAAGCAAATCAAATCAGGCAAAACTATTGTAAGCCCCATTTAGTGAATAAAAGAATATTAAGATTATTCTTTGTCTGATGCATGCACTAAAAACAATATCTTAACATAAATGAGTCAGGAAATGTTTATGTTAGCAATTTCCTGACTCCTCGTCGAAGTTTCTTTTAGCAAAAGTAAACTTTAGATTAAGATCAACTCATTACATCCCCCAAAATACCATTCCATGATCATTGGCTTAATCTCAAGGCATTAGAGATCACCCCTCTATATAATTAATTAGACTTTGAGCAAATCCACAAATATAATATTCGAGTCCAAACCCTTACAATAAATTATCTATAACTTTATTGGTCAAACTTACTTATACAATAAAAGCATTGCTAATATCATAGTTTAAGATAATTATTAGCCCAATAAAAAAAGAGTCATTCATAAATAAACCATCATATTCCAAAATAAAATACTTATTGTCCAAAAGTTAATGATGTGATAATTTATCTATTTTCAAGACATTTAATCTCTCTAAATTTAAATTTATCACATCTAACCCTACAAATCCACAACTTATATATTTAGTTAATATTGATGACACAACTTTTTTTAGTTTAGAGAAGAGACATTTAATTTTAATTTCCAATAAAAATAATTATATGGCACATACTAAATCTTATAAAGGCAAACATGTGATTAAATTATTATTTTATTTATAAATTTCGAAAAAACCTTTTTTTTTTGGGGATTGGTGACCCATTTTTTTTATTATTTCCCATTACTATCCCCACTTTTTATATATCCTCAAAATGTCTCTAATAGGATAAACCAAAAAAAAAAAACTCATACCATATTTTTTGCACCTCCATAAAATTATTATAATTAATATCCAAACACTTAATATATAATTCAAACCAGCTTATCATATTTTATGATATTTTAAATAATTATCTATTTTTTATTAGTCTTATAATGTATATATATTAAAAAGTATTATAACCGAGGAACAATAACTCGAAATATAATGTATTTTTATCGGTCTTGAATAGAATATATTATTCTCGAATAAGATTATAGTATTTTTTTAGCACTTTTATAAGAAAACTACAAACCTACATAAAAAATACTATTAACTATACTGATTCATCTTAGAACGAGACTGCTTTAAGATACGTAAAGTTTTAGATCCAAGCTCCAATAGACCCGGTCCAACGAAAATATTTCTTTTAATTGTAAAGCCGGTCCAAGCTCCAATAGACCCGGTCCGAACTATTCTCGGTCCAGATTTGTTCCAGAAGGATCTACAGATCCGACGGTTTACATCAAACATCACAATCTGGCCGCACGGAATCTAATGCCGACAGCTCAGCCGTCTTCGAGTTCCCTTATAAGTCTGCCGTAGTTGCAAAAAGAATGCACACCAGCGAAACTAAAACGGGGAGAGACGAGGGGCGGAGAGGCGAGAGGAAGGAGCGGCGCTTTTGGAAAGAGAAGGGTAAAGGAGGCGGCGAGAAGGTTCGACGAAGGAATGGAGCCGAAGAAGGGCGTGGACGAGTCATCGTTGGATGAGCTGTTTCTCTACACCACCGTGTGCATCGTCGGGTTTCCCGTCGAGGTCCAGGTTAAGGACGGGTCCCTCTACTCCGGCATCTTGCACACCGCGTGTTTCGAGAAGGATCAGGGTGAGATCTTGATCCTATTGCTTCCGATCGAATTCGGTGGCTTCTTGTATTTGGTATCGATCACGGATCCGATAGGTTGAATATTTTTGCGTATCTGTTGATTTGTCATGCTGTTTGCCCAAATTCGAGATTTTAATATTGATAATGCGTCGTTGCTCTCTTTTCCCCTTGTTTGCGTTGTTGCCTTTTACCAATTTCGTGGATCTCATTTGTTAGCGTTTCTAATTATGATCTTAGCACATGTAAAAGTTGTCTTCTTCTTTATTTCTTTCTAGTTCTCGTTTTATTTATCTTGTAATGTGATTGCGTTATGGTGTTGGTGGTTATTATTGGAGAGCTGCGATTGTTTCGCGTAGATCCGTGCTTGTCGTAGTTTGAACAGCCAATGTGACTTGTGGCCCTTCGAGTTTCTTCGAGGTTTTTTTATTAAAATTGATTTTTCTTGCTGATCTGCTGAATTCTTTAGGTATTGTTTTGAAGAAAGCGAGGAAGATAGGGAATGGGAAATGTGACACAAACTTAGCTTTAGGAGACTTTGTAGATACTCTTGTTATTCTTTCATCTGACCTGGTTCAAGTAGCTGTCAAGGTAAGATCTTTTCCTTGTGGATGATTTTTTTTCTATTATCATTGTTCTCTTATGTCCTTCGGTCATCTGTGCTCTGTTTATCAGGAGTTCCTCCCGCCAGCAGATCATGTTGCTCAGAACAATGCAGAGGTGGTGATTGAATCTGATTTACAAACTTGCAATCGGGATTCTGGAAGGGTGAGGGAAGGGTCCACATGTGAACAAATTTCTGCTTTGAGGTACATGTTGCATATAAAAACCTGATTCTGTTAACTATATAGGTCAGTTGCATAGGCTTGGCTCCCCTGCCAATGATCTGCTGTTTTATTAATCATATGTAACAACCATCTTGGAAATCATGTTGCTTCTGGCAAACCAATACTCTTCTTGTTTAATTTTTTTGTGTTGCTACATATCGAGAAATCTGGAAATATATCATTTCATGCTCTATATTATATTCTACTTTTTCAAGCAGTGTAAGCCTTGACACGATGGTAAAGTTGTTCCTTTTCAATATGGGTGTCGAGTTTGAATTTAGAAAAATCCTCTTATGGGGGTCAGGTTGCATGGATAAATCTTCCCAAGTCCTATGTTTGTGGAAGCTCATGCATTGGGCCACTTGATGATCTTGGATATATTTTCCCCAGTCCCATGTTTGTGCATGTTCATGCATTGGGCCACTTCATGACCTTATGAATTTTCTTCTAAAGTTTGTATGTTGACTCACAACAATTACAAGTTAAAATGTTTTTCAAAGTAAAGCTAAGAACTTATTCTTGGTTCAGGAGCACAGGTGGAAATGAACATTGTTGAAACTCGGTAAACAAGAATTTTCATGAGGCAGCTTGGGGAATATAGCTACAATTGGATGAAAGAGATCTTATTGGTTATAACATTGATCCTTTTCTTTTTTAAACAAACGTAGTTTCTGCATTTAAAAAGCTTGAAGTTTGAGTAAGAAAGAATAGTGGATATAATGTTAGTACAAAGGATGCTGGCAGTGATTCTCTTTCCATTTTTAATAACTAATATTGTTAGAAGCTAGAGCTTAGCTGACCTAGTTCAATGATATTGTAACCAAGGTTCTATGTTTTGGGTACCGAATCAGTATGCGTTCAGTCGTTGCCAGCATCTTGACACAAAGTGTACCTGTATATACCATGGTACAGAGAAGGGTTAGGGTTAGGAGAAGAGGAGGAGGTGTGGAGGCAAAGGCAGCTGAAAAGAAGAGTAGGGAGGAGGTGGTGGCAGACAAGGAAGTGGATGAGGAGTAGAGAAGTACCCAAATGGACAGGTGGGCTGGGGTAAGCAGACAATGTGAGAAGGGGAACACGATAGAAAGAGAGCGATTGGATTAGGGGGCTGGGGTTTACTAAGGTTTCTTATGAGGGTTATTTGTTTTTCAAATGAACCAAGCGGTAAGCCTTGTATTGCATGCGGACCACTCAAAATTGTATGATTTGGATGTACTGTCTGGTACATAACAATCCTGATGAAACATTAACCTTGATCGTTATCATGTCGTAAGTTGCTAACTAAGAAAGTCTACCATGGAAATGAAACAAATTTATAAATCAGTTACCTACTAGAGTGTTGAACTTCCTTATAAGAAAGCTAAACCTTTGTTACAAGGTTAAAACCCAGGAAGTGTGTACTTTGATTTATCCTCTCCTGTCATTCTGGTAATATTTATCTTTTTATTTTTTGCTTGATGGTTTAAATATAAATATATGATGACGTAAATTAGAGATCTTTTCATTTGAATAATGATGTTCAATGGTCATAAAACTCTGTTGACACAGCAAAAAGATATTAAAATTATCTTTTTAATTATAAATTTCTGAATTCCTTGGATTTTTGGGCTTAGAATTGATGAGGGTGAGCCTTGCAACTTGAGTAACTAGAATTGGTCACGGAAACTTACAGGGATGAAACTGCATTTATTCTCCTGAGATATTGCATTGGCAGGAGCCTAACATATTATGCCATTTTACCATCAGGCTTAGAAGTTGGTGAGAACAAGTCCATTGCGTGGTACTGAAAAACATTTTTCAATAGGTATTCTGATGTCAGAAGAATGGAAACTGTTTCCTTGAAATTTGATGAGCTTGGTCTGAAGCTTTTCAAAGTAAAAATGAATAGTTTGAGCGTTGTTTGAATTTCAAGTAATAGAGCTCAAATATGTCATCTTCTGAACTTTAGCTGATGTGAAGTGTTCTTTTAAGGATTCTTTTAAACTTTTTCTTAGGCTAATTGCACAAAAATGGTAGTTGTTTGAACCTTAGAAAACTTAGAAGAATTATATGGGCAAAGATTAATTCTTTTATGCTTCTTGTGTGAACAGTTCCCTTGAAACAGAGGATGCCCCTTTATTGAATTAGTTAAGTGATGATTGATATGCTATACTTCAGATATGTAGGGTTCAGGCAACTACTTCCACCCAGATGCATTTTGCTAAATGAATGCCAAAGTTAGATGCACTAAAATTTGCTTATGAAATCTATTATATAAATATGATTCATTTCTTGGTCAAGTTACATGTTTAGAATAAAGGCCTGTCTAATGTATCAGATCTTTATCAAGTCATTTTGCAGTTTATGGCCAAGCCTCCGTAAAAAGCATTTCTTAATTTCAGAAGATGCAACAAACATACACACACGCACACACACTACGATGGAATAAACAAATATAATTTGGAATGATTGTAGGAACCACTTTGATGATAGTATTGCTTATGTTGTCATTGTCTGTTGAAATTGATAAGTTCCTTGCAAATTATATGATGTTAATTGTTCAGTAACACTCTTAACATAAAATGTCAGAATCGAACCTGAGATTAGTTGTTAGGGTAGTTCATTCAGTGAGAAAAAAATTAACATTTTTATATATGTTATTTTTCTTGATAGCATTTAACTCTTATGGCTACATTGTTGTTTAAACTTGGTGGTGCGACTAATATGTTTAGAGGAAATGTTTTTGCACTTATATGTGTAAGTTATAACAATGTTGGCATTTGTGTTCAAATACCCTATTCTTTAGTTAAGGATGACTAGTTTGACCTATCGACAACTTCTCTTTCAACAAGGAAACACATGAAAGGACAAGGCTCTTGGTAAATAACTTTATGCATGTTTTTTTATGTGCCTATTCTTTCAGTTATTCATTGGATGTATGTATCGCAAGTGATCTGTTGGATGCAAATGTTGGGTAAATTATTTTGCTGGATATTTTTGTATTTACACGGTTGTCTGTCATAGACAAGATTATGAATTTCAGTTTGTTGATTTGTCGGCATATTATTGATTGTATGAGGAGAATAATTTCCTGTTGTTTTCATTATTCAGGTGTTTGGACAAAAGTGAAGAAAGTGAACCTCTTTCATTAACAAATGATGAAGAACATGTTATAGTGAATGAGATGATTGATGTAGGTAAATTTCCAGACAAGGCTTTAGATAATATGCATGAAACTGGAGGTGCAAGACAAGATGAGATATCTTTAGAAAAGGTAAACTTAGTTGCATCGATTTTGCTACTATGTTAAGTTGATTTTTGAAGCTTGTGATCAATTTATGTAGAGTTTGTGTAAGTTTCACTAGAACTGTGCTTTATACTGAATTCACCCACAAAGAGAAGATATGAGGTTTGTTTAATTCCTAATTTTATATTATGTAGAGCATGAATTTTCCTTATTTGACACTTTTTAGTATTTATGGGTGCCAATAAAGTATTTTACAAGGTGTAACACAATGATCATTTGTTGTGTCTGCTGCTTTGAGTAATAGAGCAGGATAACTGGTATAAGCTATAAAAGTTCTATTCACAACAGTTGGGATCTTTTTCTCCATTTAGATGAGGCCAACTTACTTAAAAGTTAAAGGTCATTATGTTATTTCTTTCATAATTTTATCAAGTCATCTTTGGTCTTCCTTCCCCTCTCTTGATACCGGTAATTTGGACTGGCTGCCTCTTTTTCAGTGTATGCATTTTACAGTCTGTTTTGAACATGTATGAATCACCTGGCATCTATTCCTGTTGATCATGGATGCGACCAATTATACAATCCTTGTCAGTAGTTGTAAGTTGTAACTTGTAACATTGACCATTTATCTTGTAGGGCTTGTCGTTTAGCTATTAAGACATTCTTTTTTATTGTTGAGCTTAGTGCTGGTACGATCATCTATCTTTTGGCATTATATATTCTGGGTGTTGATGTAATTACCAAGGATTCATATTGCTCATCACATGTAAAACACTTGTGCCACCTAGAGATGGATTTCGGGGTACTTCTATTCAGGGTTTTGAATACTGTACTGTATCGGTGTATCAATCAGCTGTCGGTACAGTACGTACCGAGCTATACCAAGCATATCGACACATAGTACACTAAGGTGTACCGATGTACCACCCATACCGGTCCTTTATCAGACCGGTATGTACCGCCAGTACCGAGCGGTATGGTACGACGGTATTGTAAACCATGCTTCTATTGGTATTCATGTTGGGCTTATGGTATAGTTGTTGTTGGATATTGGTATGCATGAGACAAATTTTCCTTTCTAGCTTGATGCTTATTCTCTTTACCTTGGAGTGGTGGTTCTTGGAAACTCAACAGTTTTCTTCTTATGTTAAGGCTTATTGTTAGCTGCAGTAGTAGCAGTTGGTTTTCCTCACTGTACATGCAGGTCCATGAATACTCCTCGAAGCTTTCTTGGTGCACGAGGAAAGTGAGATAAAGATAACTGTACATGCTTGTTTTGGGTAATAGCAAGCCTAGAAGCCTATGAATTTTTCATTGAGTTTCAGACTTGTATTTTTTAGCATTATGAATTGGCTGTGCTAGGCACCTGCTGAAAACATGGTTTGTTTTCCCTGGATTGTCCTGTGGGTTAAAATTACTGCTTCTGAGAAAGAAAAAGAGGGAGTTCAATGTAAGCAGACTAGGAATAAGACATAAATGTATTAATTCATAGGAGATTTAGTAAATTATTAGTATCTCATTTAGTTAAATTATTAGTGTGTCACTTAAGTTAGTTGCTTTTATAAGCCATGGGTACCACCAAACTTCATTGATAAGAGCAATGAGATTTACTCACTTTCTAACACAAATAATGTTGGACTTCAATCAAAGTAAGAATTATGGCTCTTACATTATCAGATATTGAAACCGGAGGTCGAGCTTGGTACAATGGTAATGTTGCTCCATTGTAACCTATAATATCAGGTTCGAGTCACAGAAATAATATTGTCTGATACTGATGCAACCTTGATTTGTTTCTCTACTGCACTAGCTTGTTAGTTTCTATTAATTTCAATCCATTATACATTCTGAACTTTAGTAACATCCTTTTCTTCAGTTAAGTGAAAATGATGTTATTACAAAGGTATGGTTTAAATTAAATGTAGTTGGCTTGGATGAAATATAATTGCCTCTTTCTATAGAAAGTCACATCTTGTAGGTTGTTCTCCACATATTATGGGCTTCATGTTATCTGGAGGGTTTTGCACTGATTCTTGTGCTTCTGACAATACAGGTTGAAGAACATTCTTTTATACCAGCTATTTCACTTCAGCAAAGGTAAGACTTGAAGTCAAATGATCTACATGGTTTCTATGTTTTACTCTATACTCTCATTTGGCTACCCTGAACTCACCACTATGCTGCAGACAGGTCATAGGGTGCAAACCGGAGGGAGAAAAGCATTGTGATCCTGTTGAAGAGGTCTCTTAGTCAACACTTAAGTTGAACAAGACATTCATTTTTTAAACTTCATTTTGTTCAATGAATAATGTTTGTTTATTTGTTAATATTCAGTTTATGTTTTTGTGATCTCTTTACATGCAGATGGCACAAGAAGTTCACCATTTGAGTCCCAACTGTAAGTCAAATGTTCTCCTTGAAAACAATAGTATCCGCATTGATACTTAACTGAATCTGTAGACATTTTTGGAGTAGTTGTTAAATTATTAGCCCTAAATTCTCTTTCAGCAAATGCAAATGGCTCAAGATTGAATAGTTCTGCTGCTATGCCTGTCCAACTGATGCTTCTAGAGGGCAAAGATTCCACTTCAACAAACATTTCACTATCAGATGCTAGAACTTCAGCTTGTACTGCTACTCCTTTGGTTTCACATATTACAACCTCTTCATGCCCTGTTAGATCAGCCTTATCTGATGCATCAATTCCTAAAAAGAGCAAAGCTGGAAGTATTACTGCCAAGGTAATGTCCACTTTCGTACAGAGATTTACTTGTTTGCTACTTACCATGCTATAATACAAATGTTCTTCTAATGTGTCTTTTGGTGTCCAGAAACAATCAGGCCCTTGCTGCTAGAATTTTGTAGTTTTTATTCTCATGTGATGAGTTCTTGGATTAACTTTTTAGAAAATCTCCCTGTATTCTGCTACATGCTTAGAAACAAACTGACAAGCATATCGGAATGAACTGATTTTCTGATGATCACAAAACAAAAGGAACTGCGGAGCAGGGATTCTGATGTTATAGAAGCAAAGGTTATTGGATTCATCTATAAGATCAATTCATCCATGACAGAACTGAAATATATATATCACAAAAAATGACTGAACAGAGAGTCTTCATCCACTCAATGCAGTTTACAACAATTTGACTTATGAATCATGCATTGATAATTTTAATTTTCTATGTTCATATCTATTGTGGGTCAGCGGTTTAAATAGGCTCTTGGGCGCTTGCTTAGGTGCTCAGGCGAGGCGAGGCCCGAGCGCCTCAAGGGTGGATTACGCGGCGCACTTCAACGAGGTGCCACCTGGGCGTGCGCCGCTTGGGTGCTCGCTTGAACCCAAGCCCTGGGCGCCTCGGACGAGCGCCCTATTCAAATGAAGCAATCGAATCAAACTTTTGAAGTATGGTTCGGTTCAACAGTGATTAGTTGGTTCGATTGAACCAAATAACCACTTTCTTACCCGTAAAAGCCACTTTCGCATGCTCGCGTGACCCCGAGCCGTCAACCCTAGTGCTGCTTTTGCCTCCACCACCGACGCTTTCTTCCACTGCCTCTGTCGCAAATGCAGCAGATTGAGGCTTCCTTTGTTGCCGATGGACGGGCAGGTTTGATGGCCTAGCCTTTGTCCGTAGCTTCGTTTCGCTGTCGTTGCTTTCGTGTGCAGTTACTTCCACCGTCAAGGGAGAGGACCGCAGCTTCCTCTTCCATCGACGGACACCTTTGAAACTTCCTCCACCCACGACGTTGCCATTTGTAACTTTCGGCACTATCGCTACTATCATTTGCAGCTTCCTCTGTTGTCGTAGTTGTCATACGTAGCTTCCTCCGTAGTTGCTACTGTTGTCCATAGCTTTCTCTCTCGTTGCCACTATTATTCGAAAGTTTCTTCGTCACCGTTGCCCTCTCCTTCCCTATTTTTCATTGTCGGTGACACTTTTCTCCCCCTCTATTATTGTTAACAATTATTTTCTCCTCCTCTAACTATTGTTAATAGTAAATAATATACTATTAATAGTAGATTGTTAACTATTGTTCAAAGAAATCTCTATTTAGATTGATAATATATTTTTTAGATTTTAACACTGCTAATCTTTATTTATTTAAAATTATTATTGGGGTTTTAGGATTAATGGCATGTGTGTAAAGCAATTCAGAAGATTCTTCAAAAAATTCAAAAAAGGATCTTGCTTGGGATACAATTATCTAAAAGATTCTAAAGATCTTATTGTAGTTACTTGCATCTTTTGTGATAAGACTACTTGAGGTGGTATTTTTCGTGTAAAGCAACATTTAGTAGAAAATTTCAAGAATGCATTAGCCTGTAAGAAGTGTCCACCTGATATAAAAGAATAGCTACTAACTTATATGACAAAAAAAAAGATATAGAAGAATGAATCTTATGGGATTTTACCAAAGGATAGTATTGAATATATTAGAGATGATGATGAAGATTATTTTGAAAGTGTAAATTCAAGTGAGAAAAGAGTATATGACAGAAAAGAAAAAGAAGCCATGGTTATTAAGGAGGATAAAAAGGGACCGATGAACTTATATATGTATCAAGAATTATGGAAGCAACAAGGGCAAGCAGGAGCAAAATTAGGACAAATAAATATGAGTGATGCTTGTAATAAGAAAATAAGGGGAAGAATAATTCATCACATTGCTCGCTTCTTTTATTAGGCTAACCTTCCCCTTAGTATAACTAGTTTAGACAGTTTTAAGGAGATGATTGTAGTTATTGGAAGATATTATGAAGAATTAAAACTTCCAAGTTATTATGAAATGCGAGTTTCATTACTTAAAAAAGAGTTGGATTATACAAATGACTTATTAAAGGGCCACAAAGAATCATGGGTAAAGCATGGTTGCTCTATTATGTTAGATGCTTGGACTGATATGAGACATAAGAGTATAATTAATTTTATGGTCAAATGTTCTTTAGGAATCATCTTTGTGAAGTCAATAGATGTATCATCTTTTATGAAATATGACGAAAAGATATATAATTTGTTTGATAAGTTTGTGGAAGAAATTGATGAATTAAATGTCATCTAAGTTATAACCGACAATGAAAGCAATTATGTGTTAGCTGGTAAGATTTATCTTTTGAATTTTTTAATCTTTTAATTAATTTATCTCTAATTTGAATGTAAGAATTATGTGACTCCTAAATCTTATCAAGTTTGTTATCCTTTATTTTAGGTAAATTACTTGAAGCAAAAAAACTACTTATATTGGACTTTATATGTGACACATTGCATTAATTTAATATTGGAGGATATTTGAAAGATTTTTGAAATTAAGAAGACTTTAGAAATGACAATCTTTATCATTAGATTTCTCTATAATCATATTGAGGCTTTGAATATGATGAAAGAATTCACAGACAACAAGGAATTTGTGAGATATGATGCCACCCAATTTGTTACTTGACATTATAGGGCGTGCATTGTCAAAAATATAACCTGAGAAACATGTTTACCTTGGAGGAATGGGTGACAAGCAAATGGGTAAAATAAGCGAAAGCCAAGAGGGCCAGCGATATCATCTTAATGTCATCCTTTTGGAATCTTGTAGTTTATATATTAAAGGTAATCGACCCTCTTGTTCGAGTCTTTTGGTTGACGAATAATGAAAATAAACCTACAATAAGATATATTTATGAGGTTATGAATAGAGCAAATGAGATGATTCAAAAGTATTTTTATGGAAAAGAAGAAAATTATAAGAAAATATTTACAATAATTGACAAAAGATATAATTGTCAACTTAATCATTCATTACATGTAGCATGATATTATTTGAACTCAGAATTCTTTTATAAGAACACCTCCATTGAGTTTGATGCAGAAATTATAAATGGGTTATATCAGTGTATTGTAAGATTGGTTCCAAACCTCAAGGTACAAGATAAGATCATACGTGAATTATCTTTATATAAGAATATTGATGGTCTTTTGAAATTCTAATGATAGTTCGATCTAGGACAACTACATTCCTAGGTATTAATAAATTGATATAATTAATTTCATCTATAGTATTTTATTGGTAATAATTAAATAAATTTTGTAGCTGAATGGTGGAGTCTATTTGAAAATTCCACCCCGAACTTGTAGTAATTGATTATCAAAATTCTTAGTTTGACATGTAGTACTACGAGTTGTGAGCGAAACTGTAGTATCTTTGAACGTGTAAGGATCATAGAATATTTTTGTTTTAATTAATCTATTCTTTTTTAATAGATGTATTGATATATTTTCAAATTATTTGACATGATAGATTCACACAAAGAGAAAAAATCGGTTAAAGCATCAATGATTACATGATCTTATTTATATAAATTATAATCAAGCATTGAAGACTTGTCATGATTTGTGAAATAGTATTGATCCATTCTCATTACAAGACATTGATGATTCAAATGAGTGGTTGGTGGGAAAAATTGGTGCAAACTTGCAATATGCCAAATATAAGTTTATATTTGAAGATAATAGCTTGACATTGAGAGATGTTGTAAAGAGCCTAAAGTGTTGGAGAATTACAGACATATACAAGACAGATGATGGAGGAAAAAATGAATGCAAAAACCTTAAGCTCATCTTTTGCCACTGTTGAAGAGGAGGAAACATATTTTGATGAAGATGGACGAGAGGAAGAGAAGGATGATGATATGTTTGATAATGACGAAGTTGACTATGATGAAGAATGAATTTAATGCAAAACTTTATTGTTTTAAGCTTTTTGACATTTTTGTTATTAGAAGATGGATAATAGGACTTTGTACTTCAGATCTTTTTAATTTAACGTCGTACTTTTATTTATATAATCATATTTATTAATTATATTATATATTTTTTTATATTTTAATATTTCAGAGCGTCTCGCTTCGCTTGGGCTAGCTCTTAGTGTCTTGGGCATTTTGGGACCTTGGCGCCTAGTACTTTTTAAATCATTATTGTGGGTGTTAAACTGTATTTCGAATTATATACTAGATCTAATCATGTTTGATCCCAGGGTTTGAAATGCTGTTTTGTTGACCTGCCTACTTTAGTTACCTTCTTTTTCATGTTCTCGTAGGGTATTTCTTATGATTATTGTCTAACTGCTTTTTTTTTCAACATAATATTACAGGAATCGAAGCTGAATCCAAGTGCAAAAATTTTCACACCATCAGTGACAAATTTAAGACCATTACCTACAGCTGTGCCTAATATTGTGAGCCCAAGCCAAATGTTGAACAATCTTCCTTTAATGCCTATTGCTGCTTCACAATTAGGAACTGAAATGAGCTCTCTTGCAAGTCATGTCACAGTACCAAGTAAATTGGTCCCATACAATAACATAATTGCCACGCACACTGGACTGGGAACTCATTATACTCGACCTGTATGTTCCTTTAATGCTTTCTGAATATTAGATGCTTTTTTTTGCAATTGCATGTTCATTGAATTGATTGTTCTGCCTTTTCTTCTTCTACATTTCACTATGTTTGATTGTTTTATATAATAACTTTCTAGGATAGGCTTCATCTGCTTAACATTTAGAACCCACAAACTCATTTAATGCTATATTCTGCTTTAATCCTGAATTTTCAGAACCCTTGGGCTTATATATTTTTTTCTTGTGTTTTTTTGTTCCTTGTTCTTTGTACAGGTTCTGGGGCATGCTAGCATTCGACAATTACCCATTAGAATGAATGGTCAATATCATCCTCTTCAAGCAGGGCATTTCTATTCAAATCCACATTCCCAAATGGTAAGTCATCCGTACTTCTCATACTTTTTATTTAATATTTTGCAATTTTTTGTGCAACATATCAGAAGTATTTAGTATTTACTTCTGAAATTGAATTGCTATAACCATGTTGGAATTTTAAATACAGTTGATGGTTGGCCAATTAAGTCAGCCTGCATATGTGCATCCGGTTTCTCAGGTAATAATTCTTCTTAACATTATATTTAAATCCTTGTGTTGTTCCGTATGTGCTTGCCTTTGTTGCTACCTATTCTTTATGGAATCCTGAAACATGTGCCTACCTTGTCTGCTTGGCATCATAATATGTTTTATAGTTTGGGGCCTTGGGCACACTGTGATGAGATCAATGAATGTGGCTATATCAAAATGGATTAGCATAAGCTTCTAGGCCACTTATTTTGAGATAAAATGTGCACATCAGTCATGGCATCAACTCCTGAACCACATGGTCAACCTTCAAACGTCTTTTATCTCAATTTAATTACAAATAGGGCACACTGTCACATTCTTTGAGACCTTTTAATTTGTATCTTCATGCTTAATGCCCCTTAGAAATTTTCATCGTTGAACTATTAGACATTGATCAAACTGGCGATGAGCACTTATGTTTAATATTTTGTGTATCTCTGTTCTTTAGTTATTTGTAAAGTGAGTGAAGACATCGTAATTCGAATAACTGCCACCTGCGACAGTTTCCACCATATGCTATAATTCTCGATTCCTATAGTGAATCTGTTTTCCTGTTATGAACTTTAGGTTATTTAAAATGAGGTCTTACGATATATATTGTTTGCTGATTACATTGTTTTATGCAAAGAGAAACATTGGAATGGAAGGTGCCAGAGAAGATTTGTAGTAAGAAGGTCAAATATATAAGCACACCTTTGGTAAGACTAAGAGAAGATTGGAAATATAGTTGAATATATGAGCTAGAAGTTTCAAATTCTATAAACTTAATTTTGTGGTTTATTACTTAACGGGAAGGGCAGATTGTAGAAAAATATTGTTTATAAAATTGAAACATGATAGATAAAGGGAAAGTGATGTGTCATATTATGATTGCTGAGTGCTCCTTGAGATAAATTTTATAAGATTCTCAAAGACTGTCTATGTTGCTTGGATATGGATCCAAAGAATCATGTGTGACATGGGAGACCATAGAAGCCGTTAGATTCAACATTACTGGTATTTCTTGCTTAATTTTAGTTACAGAACTTAAATTTGATTCTGAAGCAATTTATTTTTCAATGGTTTTATGCTAAAATTTCCAAGGTATAATTCACTGATATTAAGGCTGTTACGTGTTTTCCCGAATTGACCAAACTTGCATATTTCTCAAGTTGCTACACTCCGAAAATGAATGTGAATCAGGATATATGGTAGACATGGTTCGTCTTACTGGGTCTTTAGCACCTAAGTGATCGAGGTGTATACTTGTAAACGTTTTCTAACCACCATGTCTTAGGCCTAAATTCTGACATTTCACAGCCAACATAATTTTGAGTTTTTGTGGTTCTGATGTATCTCCATTTAGATTGTTTTTACCAGTGATTTATTATGATATCACGTTTCAGTCATCACTTTTGCCTTTTGATTTGATTAATGTTTTTTTGCTTGAAGGATGTGATTCAACGAACGCCAGTTATGCCACAAGGACAACCACACCCTCTATTGACTCAAGCAAATGCACCAAAGTTTCAAGGTACTTTCTTCATTATCAATCATCATTTTGTAGTATTAGTGAGGGGTTTTGTTCATTATCAATCATCCTATTGTAGTGTAAGTGACGGGTTTTGTTCTCCAATTATTTACATGCAACATACAAGGATTTATGTTTCTTAGAACTGGGGGGGAACAACAATCAACCAAAAGAATGGATGAAATATACATTTTGGAGCCTGGTAGTCTTAATTTTTTTGCATAAATGACAAGATACTGTTCTCCTGAGGTTACTGGCAATTATGATGTCTTATATTTTCAAACTACTGGAGAACAAAAACTGAAGATAAAAACCAAAATGTTGTTAGTTTGCTGTTGTCTGATGCACAGTAATAGTTTATGGCCTGTTAATTTGACTGAATTGTTGAATACTCAGGTGCTTTATTATATAAAACTTTAAAGGTTGGTACATATATTTATGAGGAGCAATACATGCTGTTAATATATAATTTATAGCTTTAATGAATATGATTGATGTCTTGAGATCTGAACCAAAGTTTCAGAGCTTCTGAATTGTCTTCTTATTTATGTCTGCTTCCTTCTTTATGAGAAGAAATTTTTGCTTATATGATATGCACATCATTGTAGGTGCTACAGCCCTGGCTGCGGCTCCACCCGTTGTTGCAGGTGGAATTCAGACTATTGTGGCGCCACCCCATGCTCCATTCTCACAGCCCTTTGCTGCCATCCAACAAATCGTAGTCCCTGGTGGCAATGGTTATTTCTACCACTAAATCCTTGTGATCTCTTTTCTGGATCCTGGAATCTGCAAATCAATTTTGATGAGTTCATTCAATTCTTTGCCTAGCATGGTAAATAATGATGCAGAATTGAAGATTGCCCTTTCAACTTGCTATAGTGGTTTCTGAAGTTATTTTCCTTAGGAGACCGTCTGTTTTTGTTCCTCTTATATCAAAGAAGAAAGCGAGTCAATCACATGTTGAATCTTTCTGGAAGGTTTCTTTTTTTCTTTTTTGAGGAAAAGAGTATAGTGTATATTGGAACAAGCCATGATAGATGAGAGGGAGGAGGAAATGATTTTGTTCTACAAGAAGTGGCTTCTAACTGAGACAAGCTACCAAAGGTCACAGTTCTAGTGATTACCGACTTGACAAAAGTATTCTTTTTCTTTTTCTTTCCCTCAAATTATCTGCATTTGCTTGGTCATTTTTTGAACTGGATGGTAAGAAGTTGTAGCTGGAGAAGAAGAAAATGTTAAATTTTATGCATCGTGGATTCTAGCTGCAGCACTGACAAAGTATTCCTTTTCTTTTGTTTCCCCTCGAATTATCTGCATTTGCTTGTCATATTCTGAACTGGATGGTAAGAAGTTGCGGCGGAAATAAAGAAGAAGAAATGGTTTCATTCTATGCGTTGTGGATTCTAACTGCGACACCGACCGATAAAGTATTCTTTTTTCTTTAGTTTCCCCTCATATCTGCATTTACTTGTCATATTTTTGAACCGGATGGAAAGAAGTTGCAATGGAAATTGAGAAGAAGAACAACACTACCGAGTGACTTAGCTCATGATTGTGGTAAGTGCCACTTTTGACGTCTATTCTTTAGGTTTTTCCGCAAGTTCATGGCTCTTTGCTTTGATGTATTATGCTACCATACGCAATAATGCATGTGAGATAACTCTTTAGTGTTGCATTTTATCTCTACTGGCATAATAGTGATGACAGATTGAAGTGGATGGATCATGTTATGATGGATTCTGACTCGTTTGGTTTCTCTTCCTACAGGATATGATACGAATCGAAAGAAGGGCATGTCAACAATTGCTGCATGATTAATCACGTCGATCAAAGAAATGTTGATAGTACAAGCAATTTCGGCAGTAGGTAAACAACCATCATCCACAGAGTTGATTGTAGATAATGACACCCTATCTTAACCCACCAAACTAATTTGAGATCTAAGCTGTAGGATGATCCCAACTAGTATATAATTTGACATTAATTGGATTAGATTTTAATTTGATCTTCAGTCCACCGGTTGAAACAATGGGTTTATACAATTATGTATACAAATGTAATGTATTCTCAAAATTAAATTATATTTATAATTTAAAACTTAAAATTTATTTTCATTGTAGAATATATTATAAAAAATGAAAAAAAAAATAATAAATGTAAAATTTCTCTTGATTATAGAATGAAGTTAAGATCTTCGATGGTAAGAGTACATTAACCAGAAAGAAAAAAAGAAAGATAAAGATCAAATAATGCATGCTTCAAGAAAACATTCGAAGTTTTCATTAAATACTCAACCATCAACTTCCAAGAATCGAACACATGAGATTTGCCTATGATATTACTCAACCATCAACTTCCAAGGTGTATGAATCAAACACATGAGATTTGTGTATGAATCAAGCACATGAGATTTGCCTATGATATTACTCAACCATCAACTTCCAAGGTGTATGAATCGAACACATGAGATTTGCCTACGATATTACTCAACCATCAACTGAATCGAACACATGAGATTTGCTTATGATATTACTCAACCATCAACTTTTAAGGTGTATGAATCAAACACATGAGATTTGCCTATGATATTAGTCAACTATCAACTTCTACCAATCAAACACATGAGATTTGCTTAAAGTAGGTCTGCACTTCAAAGAAAGACCAAAGTAATTTTTTGCTTACTTGGCAGTGCAGTCAGGTCCAATCGGAACATGTTCGGAATGATTGGTGGAACCGGCAATTGGAGGAGCCTGCGGTGGAACAGCTTTGGATCCATAACTAGAAGAGAAATGGATGGATTAGCTGGAGCCAAAGCTGGTCGAGTCCCATAACTAGAATCTGCAGATGAACCACCCAGCTTCGACGAGATAACTTTGTGCCCCATAAATGGTGCTTGAAGTTGGATTAGGTTGGACTGGAAGATATCGAACCATTGAACTGGAACAAGCAGCAGCTTGTGTTGTCATGATCCGAATCTATTGCCGGTATAATCCTGAGAAGAACTAGCTTGAATCCCGAGACCGGAAACACAAGTTGGATTATAGCTCGAGAGGCAAAGAAGAATCGAGGCCCTTCAGGAACTCACAGCTGAATTAGCTTCAGAAGGAAAAGATTTGTGTTGTGCATACATGGCTGAGCCAATGTTGTGTCTTCTGGTGATAATTATGCATGCTCTTCACACTTGCATGACTAATGTTCCCAATCTAATTACAAGTGAAAAGAAGACCATCATCATATCATTGCATGTGTTACATGAAAACATCACATGTTGAACAAACAATAGCTTCAGCGGAGTGTTTGGTTGTGATTGCTTGCACATTTCACAAAACCTTCCACCTAAAAAAATCCTGACCTTCTAATAGACCACCTAAGTTAATATCTCTGCACCAATAAGCATAACTAGAAAACCTGAAAAGAATAACAAGTGCTAGATTAATCTCAAAAAAGATATGAATCTTCCAAAGACATTCATCCTAAAAAAAAATAAAAAATGCTGCCTTCCAATCTGCTTGTTACATTGCTGTTAAACCTCGGATTATTCAAGCCACGAACAGGATATATTTGAAGAGATTTTACTACGTACTAAAAAAAGATGTGTCGGTCATCGATAGAATCGGTATAAGCATATCAACACACGATATACCGGCACATGTCACAAAATTTTTTTTTAGATCTCAGGAAACCACATGACACGATATGTATTAGTCCGAACGAAATGTAAAACCATTAGTCATACAAATTATGAGGCAAAGCTCCTTAATACTCGTACAACTTACCTTACGCATTAGGTTGCCTAAAGTTGATGTATTGATCCGGACGAAATGTAAAACCATTAGTGGTACAAATTATGAGGCGAAGCTCCTTAATACTGATACGACTTATCTTACACAAATTATGAGGCGAAGCTCCTTAATGTTCGTACGACATACCTTACACGTTAGGTTGCCTAAATTTGAGCAAATTATAGGCAAAAATTTTAATCAAGGAATGGTTATAGATGGATGTTTTAAAAATGCCAGAGTGTATGCTGAGGCATGATTTAAGATTCTACTATATTATATGCTAATCATACTGGTCGATACTGACATGTTAAATGATTTACACACTAAATGTTATTTGTGGGCTGCGACATACTGTACCCAACCTATTTAAGGGTAATATACATATTTTGTACCAATTAAATTGATTAGCACTCTCCTCAAAAAACCAAACAAAGATCCATCAGGTACAAAGGCAACTCATTCTTTCATTGTTTTTGGAGCTTTTTATCATGAGATACTTCGGAACATTGGCTCGAAGTATTTTAGATACATAAAAGACCACAAAGTGTAAAGGAATAGAAAAATGTTCAATTTAAGGAGAGTACAAAAACATCTATAACAATATAAAAAAAGATTGAGAAAGGCAAGAACAGCAGTCTCACACTCGATTGAGTACATCTAAAAGTACCAACATGTCACCTAAAACATTATTTGTCTCCAAGACAAAAGGCAACGAAATGACACTTGACATAATACATCAAAATGCCACAATCGAAAAAGCATAGCCCACTGCTCTACCAATGAAGAGCCTACGGTGCACCTCGTGGCCGTGATGAGGACCAGGAAGATGAGGATGATGATGTTCTTGCACCACCGAATGATGATCGACGCTCTTCACTCCGCCATATATCACCGGATGGAGTAGGGCGGTTGTCCTGCCTTCCCCAGCGATCAGGCTCAGGGGGGGTGGCCTTTGGTCCCTCGTTTCTCTCACGGAGGAACTTCGGAACATACTTACCAGGTCCTGGTGCAGGTGTGGCAGCAGCGGCAGCAGCAGCAGCAGCAGGGACAGGCTCAGAGGGGTGAGGAACTGAAACTGGGTCGGCTGGCCGATGTAGTGGTTCAGTGGGCCTTCTAAGAAGTGCTTCTCTTCGCAGCCTTTCCTTCTCTTCAGCCTCTCTCTCTCTCTGCCTCTGCCTTTCTGCAATTGCATCCAGCTTGGCTCTCCGTTCTACCTCTTCTTTCTTTCTTCTTTCCTCCTCTGCAACAGTGAAGAAAAAATAATTAGGACCAAACCGTATGACATGGCACTGACGCTGGTGCTTCATATCCCATGATGTGGTTGGTGCACAACAATTACCTTCACGTTTTCTAGCTTCCTCCTCTTCTCGTAGTCTGGTCAGACGCTCTTCCTCAGACTTCAGATAAAAGAGCATCTTCCTCTTCATCTCCCTTTCATGTTTCCTTGCCGCTACAATCTGGTTAATTTTATCCTCTTTCTCTTTCTTCAGTCTATTATATTCCAATTCGCGATGGTCAACTATTTTTTGTTGAAATATAACCTGGAGACAGAGAGAGTATCAAAATGCGCCATATCAAAAGCACCACATGATAAATGAAGCAGTAATTCAATACAAGTCGTAAGACATTATTCTTTTGGATGAGCATCAACATCTAAACCATTCCAATTAATACATGAGAAGCGATAGGACAACTTAAGATTCACCGACTGATTGAAAATATTTTAAGACCACCTGTCAAATCTGCTGATGTTAGATTCCAAGCATAAAAAACATAAAGACGAGAAAATATTAAAAGGTCTACCTTAGGTGTTAATTTACTAATCTGACTCCTTCATCAGGTGAACATCCATGAAAAGATAAAAAGTATCAGTCAAATTCTAAGTGGGAAGTTGACAAAAATATCCCACTTAAGTTGACACAAACATGTATTAACCAATTAGGAAGAAACATGTTGACAAAAAAACATAAGGGGCACCACAACCATAATTTCCATGGAGAAGGATCTTTAAACTCAAAGATTATAATATTAATCATCCATTTGTATGCTAGGTGGGATGCAAACAATTCCAGCCAAACAAAGACAGAATTACATCTCCATACAACAAAGACAAGTGTTGCAAATCATTTTTTATATCCTCAATCTGTGAAACTGTTCTACATCTTTGCATCATCGACCATGACAATTTGCAATCTAGATAAAAAATTTAGGGAACAATTTTACAAATATTTTTATAAGCCAAGATGGCCAAAATCAAGGATCCGATCACAAATATTGTTAACAAATAAAAAAACAGATGCATAAAAATCTAAGCCTGCATCAATTGCACAGGCAATACCAATCTAAACCAACTCACATCAATTTAACAATTAACAATCTAAGTAATTTTTAGATATGTCCAAAAAATATTATGTTTCCTCATTTTATCCTTGATTGGTACTTTCCTTAATTTTCATGGATGCACACACTTCTTGTTTTCAATTATTTTAGTAATGCCACAAATCTATCTCAAGTATGAATATACATATATCCTAATAGTGATGAAAGACAACACTAGGGTAAATTTCACAAATCTAAATATCTTCGATTCCTCAGCAATATCCTGTTTCTACCTCCCTTTCCTGCCAAACAATATATCCAGGAGACTGAGAAACTGTCTAAATTACTAACCAATGAATTTCAGCACTTCATATATTCAGTTATGATTTTACATAGTCTAAAACACAGTTTTTATAAATCGTACCAATGGCTGCAGACTAGTGTTTTGCTTAATTCTACTTCATAATTTGACAGTGTGCTCACATAACGCCAGACACTGACATTTTACATGTTTCTTGCACAAGATTAATGTATTAATCCATTCAAAGAGCGTACAAGTGAAGAACCAACCCTTGATAAAACCAAAATCAAATTACATAATGCAATATAGCAGAAGTACTAGGCGAATCTAATTTGATACTTCTTAGGCTAATTCAAGTCTAGGTGAGTCAAATTACATGATGTATATGGCATACTAACATATTGGGTTGAGTACTATTTTTCTCGAATTTTTACCAGACTTTTCATCATTATTTTTTTCTGAAATTTGTGGTGGTTTAGAGTTTAAGAGTTCTATCTAAGTGAGGCCAGTGTTAAAACAGTTATAATGTGTATGATTTAGGAAAGGTGTTTTGCTCTTAAAATTTGTCTTTAAATAGTTATGAAAGTGTTCTGGAAAAAATCTTATGGAGTTACGAGATTATTTTTACCACAGATCCTCTTAGTTTACTTTAAATTTGATACAAGCAAATAAAGTTCTGAAATCTGAATCTTTTATTTTGTGCTTTGTGTTGATTAATAATGGTTTACTGATTAAACAAATTATACCCATGGAGACACACATGGGAATAGCTTACAAAATACAATACATGTCCACCAATGAAAAAATGCAGAGAAGAGCTTTCCCCATTGGTAATAACATTACTTTGTACTAATAGCTGCAAAACCATCACAATCCAGATTGAGGTCAATACAGCTGCTTCTATAGGCTAAAGTTTCTATACATGGATGGTAGATAATTTATAAGCAAAAAAGGAAATATTATCAACAAAATTACTAAACCTTAAGTGGAAAACATTTAGCATAAATACAAACCTTGTTATCCAACAATCTGGCCAGTCTATTCTTCTCTTGAAGGTCACCAGCATGGTGCTGCCTGCTCAGCTCTATCTCTTTCTATAAGAAGCAAAGGTAAATCTCAATTACCAAAAACAATGAAAGAATTTCATGAAAACAAATAAAACTATCAAGAAAACAAATAAACCAGCTGTTCGCGTTCGTGAATAATTTTCTCTTGGACCAAACGCTGTTGGAAGGCTTGCTCAATCAAAGAGGCCTCTTCCTCCCTCTTTGCTCGTTCCATGTAATCCATTGTTTTGGCAAGTTTCTGCAGTTTCTTTTCCATTTCTTGTCTTTCCTTCAATTGCTCACTCAAGGCCAGCTCAATTAATGTCTGCTTTGTGACCTTCTCCTATAGGATCAACAACTTGCTTAAAATGGATAGTGAAAGGATTGATTCTCAAATTTTTCAATAAATATTACAAAGAAGCTTTAGCTAAACACACAAAGATGAATAAATAACAATCAACATTGCAAAACAAGCTGTTGTATGGGCAATTCTGGAAGAAAAAATATTAAATAATTGGACATGAACTACTTTCTTCAAAATTGTGAAGGCAACTTCTCGCTTTCACAAAAGCCAGATGAATGACTAAAAGAAGATAGAAATATAATCAATCTTAGTTAATGAAAGGAATATCATCAAGTAATTGGACCCAAATGACTTGAATATTGTGAAAGCAAATCTCATTTTGACAAAAACTAGATGAATACCTCAAAGAAGATGGAAACATATCTACGTTAGCTATCTTCTGATAAAAATAATAATAGCTAGGCCATGCAGTTATATTTATAACCTCTTTCAAAAATTTCATACAATTCAAAACTATACATATGGTATATAGAAATACCCAATTAACTCAACTAAGAACAGGAAATTCACAATAGAAAACCACTCAAATATCAAGCTAATACATCATCCTTCATGGGGCGTTAAGAACAAAGAAATGAAGTATTAGCTTACCCCCTCAAGAAGAGGCTTCTTTCCCTTCTTTTTTGCACCTTTTTGTGCTTCAAGAAGTAATGCTTGAGCTTCCTGGAGTTCTCTCTCCTCTATTTCACGGCGAATCCGCTGTTCCTCTCTTCGAATATATTCTTCAGCAAGTCGCTTCTGTTCAGCCTCTTCAGTAATCTTTTGAAGTTTTAGTCTTTTAGATTCTTCTTCTCGTTCCTTCAAAAGGTTCAAAACTAAAGATTAACTTAAACTCAAGCAAAGAACACCATTCTTGGTAAGAGAGTGAAATATCACACACCATTTCCAACATCTGACGTTCATGTTCTTCTTTTCGTTTCTCGATGATGGATTTTCTGGCAAGGAGCCTCCTATGTTCCTTACTGACTGTTTCTATTAGACCATTTAAGTTCTCTGCCAGTTTGGATTGTTTTCTCACAGGGGGATAAATCAGTTTCTTTGCTTTACTAAGAGAATCAGCTAGAACAGCAAGATGATCAGACAGCTTGTCTGATTCAATGTCCTGAGAACAAAACAATGTCATCTTCATGTATGAAGTAGCCATTAGAACATTTGTGAAATTTTTATATATGTAACAGTAAACACACATGAAAACTGCAGAGAAACACTCAAAGAAGGCAATAAATTAAAATAGCTCACTTAGTCTTAGTGACAAGCAAATGCAAGTTTAAAATGATCAGCCAGCAGTCAAATGAGTGCATATACAGAAGTGCAAACTGCAAATAAATAGTTGACCTAAGAGTGTTATTTAGAGCATAGAATTCAGAGAGCAACAGACTAAGATTACATCCCAGGTGCAAGAAGAATAAATGGGAGAGAACAGGTGTAAGATTACATGGTGTAAAGGCACGAGTTCTGTTGCAAATAACTGATGTTTTACACAATGGCTGTTCAGTATTACAATGGCAAAGGACTAATGAATGATAAACATAAATAGCATGTGTCATTCATGATTAAACAATTGCACATCCTGTACAAACTGTGAAATAGAAAATATAACAGCTTGATATACACTCAGCTCAGCTTCACACCAACTTTGAGAAAAATACAGGAGAAGAATCTATTGCAACAACATTCTCTACAAATTAACGACCTAGAAAGTAATTTGGTGGAAAATGATTACTTAGAGAATGAAACTTTGTACAGAATACAATCAGATGCACCCTCAATGAAATAGACTAAAAATAGAAGAAGACTCCTGCAGTATAATGGTATACAAATACTATAACGAGATAATGTCATACAGTGAAGCTGGGAGCACAGACTTTCATTCGCTTTCTCTGATAAACCAATACTATCTAACAACAGATGATACAACACCACTTTGCCGAATCTTCTTCCACAAATTAAGTGAGACAAAACCTTAATGCGGCCTAAGAAATAGGATGCATGTGCACTAAACAGGCAGCATAAAAGTTACAGGAGTCCAACAATCCAGAAGAATAAGGTAGATTAAGAGCACAGATTTTATTTTTCCTCTTGGGAAGGTAAAGAGGATTATTTCACAGGCACATGATGGCACCAATGTAAATTGGTTTTAAATAATTAAAGTTGTGCAGCACCTAAGCATGAACATGAATGTACACAAGCAGTACCATGTATCAAGGAATACACAAATAACAGAGACAAGGATGACATACCACATTACCAAATAAAACAACACCCTTCAGGTGATCGACTTTCATGGAAAGAAAATTATATTTGACTGCATCAACTGATATCTTCTCAACAAGTGAAAAGTCAAAGAAAGGAACCATCTTTGACAAAGTCTCTATTTTTATAGACTGATACACCAGAGAAGCCTAAAAAAAATACAAGACAGAAAAAACATAAATAAAAGTAGGATAAAAAAGACAAATAAGAAAAATATGAGGGTAATGGCAATTATGGAGCACAAATACATACCTGCTGAAGCACTCTTAAGGAGGCAAGCTTCTCAAGAGCAGGAACATATTTTGATAGTTGCACTTCTGGTACCGAAGAAGCTGATGATAGCTTACCACCAAGTTTTGAAATCTTACCAAGCAATGACTGGACGCGTGAAGCAAGATCTAGAGGAAAGAATTCATGTTCTAACATATTGTAGAGGTCCTTTACTTCTTGAGAGACGCATGCCATTACACCTTTATTGATCTGTATCATATAGGCTTCATTAAATTAACAACATTTACTTACATCACAAAGGATTATCAGGTGCCATAGCATGTAGCACAAGTGCCATAACTTCAGCATAGAGCAGTCAAGTGTCTAAACTTTTTAACAGAAACACAGGAGAAGACTAGTGGCATAGGATGGCAATAATGACACAAAAGACAAACTAAGATAAAATAATTAAACTGATGAAACACAATAACAGACATCATTCAACTCCATCAAGCATGTTTTTTCTCAAGTTTTCAGCATTATGACTAGCCAAGGTCCCAATTTGACTTCAGTAATCAACTAGTAGCATATGTTCTCATGCAGTTTCAAAGATTACCATGTGAATAACATCTTAACCAAAAATCCCTTATGAATCTTAGCTTAACAAAATATTACATGTTATAGGTTGATCTCTCTTCAAACCAGCACAGCACATCAATATACCCATCAGAAGAACAAAAGCATACATGTCTGATGCTTCTCTCCTTGGAAACCGATAATTCATAGCATTACTATACCTTCCCTATTCATTGCGGGTTGGTTATTCGTCAGTACGGGTTTAACTTATAATGTGTTTGGAAGTCCTCAGCCAAACGAGTATGTCACATAGAGCCAACAGGGTATTCCATCGATAACCAGTTATTTTGATTCTTTTGAACAACTCTAGTAAATCCTTTTTGGAGGCCCCCAGTGACCATAGATCAAACCTATGCCACTACTGAATCGTCAATAACATACTCTTTAGAAATGTACATAATGGAAAAACAAGTTTTTAGAAACCATAATGAGACCTAATCATTCTTCTAGATGTTAACAAATTCTACAGAATCATACATACATTAATCATTTACCAAAGAGAAGAAAAAGACATAAGCCCATTCACAAAATCTCCAGAAATGAAAATCATTCTCTCTTTATAAAACCTCGAGCCCAATCAAGAAGCAGAATAATAATCAGGAGAAATATTTTAGTCAGGCAAACAATCTATATCCAAGTAAACGATGTACCATCCAACAATAGTTACCTTGAAAAGAGGTAGATTCTAATAACTAAGATGCAGAGTAGACAAAATAATGGGTTTTCACATCTTGAAAACAACCTATAAACTTCATAGAGGTGCAAACATAAAACTCAACAAACTTACTAGAGTATGATTAAAACCATTGCTGGATTACAACTATCATTGATCAAGAAAATAAATAACTTAAGCACCAAATAAATAACTATTAAGTCGTTTTTTGGCTGTACCAATTCCATGAGCAGTGATGAACGTGAAAGCTGCACAAATAAAAGCAAGATGTTAGCATGAACAAATTGCAAATGAGTACAATGATCAGAGGCATGGAATCTTAAGCAATTAACAAAAATACATACCGTTTCTCTACTCTCTCCTTTATGATCAAGGGTAAAATTAATAAGACTAGCCATTCGTAAGTTCCGCTCTTTGTCATTTTCAAGCTCCAAATGTGATGCACCATGTTTTTGGTCATATGGAGTGACTGAAAGCGCAGCTAATAAAACAGATGATGCTATCAGTTGCAAATCTTTCTGTGATAAGTTCTTATTGTAGCTCTTCTGCAAGGTGAAAAGTCTGAACCATGCATATGCATGGTAAAGATGGCTATCTGAAACCCAAAATATGTCTGTTAACTTTGCATAGTATACCACCATCAACTGTGTCTTGGGACTCTTCTTCACCAAACTCATTAAACCATGGATATCCTCCACTGAACGGAATGCTTCCTGTGTAGGAAAACCATATATGAACATGATAACTTGGAAACCAAAATTAATTACATAAAAAGAAAGAAGGTAAGCTTGCAAAAACTGACCTGCCATAGTTCCAGATCAGTTGCTATCTTGAGCTGCTCCATTCGAGTATCTAAGTAAAGCTGCAAACTCTCTGGAGCAGTCAGATCAGGCCTATCTCTTTGGTCCTTGTACTTGTTTAAATTAGTGAGATGGTTTCGTATAATCTCGCAGAGTCTACGGAATTCTGTGGTCCTCTTATATTGTTTGCAAAATTGGAAGGCCCGATGCGCTGTCATCTAGATGTCAAAAGAAAAGAAATCAACTAAGATTCCAATGAGATCATTATTCTCATAACACACTATATCTAATGTTGGTTCCATTCTATGGAGGCTAAATAAGAATTTTTTAAACAATATTCAACAAAAACTTGGTGTTCTGTGATCACCTGAGAAAATATATTTAAATATAGTCCATTAAACATTTTATACAACTAAAGAAACCTAGAACAGAAACAATTAGGCACATAATTGCAAGTAACTCATTGAAAATCTTTTAGTGCCCTATCAAAGAAGATTGTCTTATGCAATCCATATATCAAGAGTCGTGTGAATTTAGATGACTTACTGCATATAGTGCTTCCAACTTGGAATTGTTTCGCAGAATCTCAAGCACCGACCTGTAGGTTTCCCACAAGAATTTGAACCATGGAGTCACAAGCTCCCTGTCTGATCTATCTTTTCCTTTCTCCCCACTGACATAGCTAAGCATTAAGTCCTCAGGTCTCTTGTCAGCCTCTAGATCCTCCACATCCAGTGCATCCTCCAAGGCTTGTGCTTGACTCCTAGCTTGCTCAGCCTTCTCTGTGGAAAGCTGCATGAAATGCTTTATCACCTCTTCCAAAGAGCTAACATTCACTTGTTGGCATATGATGCGGTACTGGATAAGTCCATCCTTTGCAAATCTGCCTCTCCTCATGTCCACACAGAGCTCTACATACTTAAACATGATTCTTTCAAGTGACTTCTGCCATGCCCTGTACCTTTTTGAAGTGATGAGATCATGTAGTGCTTGCAAGGCAGCTTGCTTCTGTCCAACGTTAATCAATTCTGAAATGCAGGTGTGTATCTTGTTAGCAAAGCAGAATCATGATGGAACATTTTTATATCATAGGGCAGTCATTGGACTATAAAAAGACAGTTTGATTGGACTACCCAACATGATTTATGGAAAAACAACATAAGATGAAAGAAGATTGATTGTCAACATATTCTAGGGGAAGTAGTTGATCAAAACCATAAACATTTTCCACGAGCTTCACGAAACAATAAATTCTGCATAAAAAAAAAAAGTTTAACAAAAATCTATTACCCTCAGCACGCTTCAAGGCGTTCTCTGGCTTAGCAAAGGTCGCCATTTTCACCAGAAGAAGTGTTTTGATGCCAGCTTCTTCCTAAGAAGCAGGCGTGACAGTAGCTGCAGGAAAAGACAAAAAAGAAAGCGTATGCTGTCAAATCCAAAACTGTGAGAAGGTACAATAAAAAGCATCCGTAAGTTCACTGAGGAGATCAGCTAGATACCAACGAATTACATTAAAACATCATGCTTGATGGAGAAACACAACAAAATATACCCATTTTAAACCACTTTCCAAAGTTTTGATAACGACATGACAATATAACCATTAGAAGGGCTTGGTACCCAGCAAAAAAAATATCCATGAACAAAAAAAAGCATGAAAATGGCTCTAAGTCCCACACGACAGATCTATTTTATTACAAGGAAGTAGGGACAAAAGTACAACTTTTGTGAAACGAAGATCGAATGATAAAGATCCCCATCACCTCCTCACCCACATACACAGACAAAAAGAAAAGAGGTAACGACATAGACCTAACTATAGCGTCAAAAGCGATCCATTCAACGAGCAATACAGCAGCCAAAACAACAAGAATATGTGAAGGTAACGTCTTATGCATGGATCAGATCCCAAGCAAGAAAAAGAATCAGAAACCGCATCGAAAAACATACCTGAAACCTCTTGGAATTCCAGGCACGGATGCAAACCCGAGGCCGTCGAACCTTGCTTCGAAACCCTAAGAACTTGAAGGAAGAACCAACAGAGACCAGAATTAGGTTTTGTCTACCAAACTAAACGGGACGAATCTAACGATTTCGGATTCTGAGATCGAAGGGCCGCGATAGGAAGAACCCCTATGGCGGGCATACAGAAGCGGCCGCAATCGCCGGAAGGCTGGTCTGCGAGAAGAAATGGGTGGAGGGAGGCCGCTTAGGTTTTATGGAAGGGCTTCGTACAATACCTAATATATATATTTCATAAGAGCTCAATATTTACGAGAATGCCTAATCCCAATCCTTGTCGGTTTCGGAACACAAGTTGGGCTCCGATTCGGCATGCTAAGTATGAGTTGGGCTTGGATTGGATTCTAAATAATCCATACTACCCGAATTGGATCACACTTCGAGTTGGGCTCGGATCGGATTCTAAATGATCGTAGTACCCGAATTGGAGGAGACTGCAACTTGGGCTTGGATCGGATTCAAAATAATCATACTACCCGAATTGGATTAGACCATGTTGGGCTCGGATCGGATTCTAAATAATCCATACTACCCGAATTGGATCCGACTAGAGTTGGGCTCGGGTCGGATTCTAAAAATCATATTACCTGAATTAAAATAGACTACGAGTAGGTCTCGGATCGGATTCCAAATAATTTGGTTAGGTTGGGTCAGAAAGCTGACAAGAGTCGATCATAGACGTCCATCAGGGCTCTGACGGTCTTACTTAGCGACGACACGCCCAAATCGGTTTTCTCACGGGTCCTCCCGTTCCCTTTACACGGAAACGAGATTTCCCGGATTCCCATCTCGCGAGGAGCCCTAATTTTCTTCCATGCCGGTCGCTTCTCTCACGCTCTTCCGCCGCCATGTCTCGCTGACGCCGAGCAGTAGATCGGAAATCGAAGGCAGCAGATCGCCTCCCTGTTAGATCGATTGGGCACCGGCTCACCGGAAGCGCTGCCAGAATTCGTAGGCGCGCTGATATCAGGTACGGTTTCTTCTTCCCTCCTTTCCTCGTTAGATGGAGCGCTACAGTTTATTTCCCCTTTTGGGTTCTTTTTCTTGCTCTTTTTGTTGTAGTTTGGGTTTCTTGCTGGATTCTTGACACGATGCTTGGTCCGTTTTCCCTCTGCTTCCACTTCCCTTTTACTTTTTGATTTTGGAAATACATGAGTCGATTGCTGTTACTGTTGTTCTTCTTACCTTGATGCAGGTTGAGATCTTTCGAACTCATGCTAAAATTTGAGCTTTTCCGGTTTTACTTTTCTTGGATTCTTTATGTAGTGTCCGTTTCTGGTATGGTTAGGTACGGATGCCGATTAATACTTTGGACAATTCTTGCAGCTAGGATGTGAATGCTTTGGCTTTACGCTATATTAGTCTTGTATATTAATAGCTTGAACACATTAGGGCGAGTGACTCTCTCGCTATCCCTCTCTCCTTTCTCGTTGCTTTTCTTCCTTTCTTTTTGTGGTGACGGCCTTTCTTTTCATGTCAAATGGATTTTGATTATTTACTTGAGAATTGTGTAGCTGCTCGAATTTTGAGATGTATAATTCCTAACAAGTTTATGTAGTTCTAGTACAAATCCTTTTTCGTCAAAGTTGCAAATATGAAGAATATTTGAAGTGACCTTACCTCTATCTTTGTCTACCAATTTCCAGTTCTTTCCAATCCTATTGCTTGTTTGATTTAAATCCTTTTCACTTAAAGTTGCAAATATGAAGTATGTGTAAACTCACCTTATCTCCATAGCCTTTGAGATTTTCTGTATCGTCTACCATTTTGCTATTCCTTTTAATTTTAGTTTGTGTTTAGTTTTTGTAAGTGAAGGTGCAGGTGTTTAATGGCTTTTACTCCATGATAGTTGGATAATGTTTTAAAATTTAAGTTCCAAATAGGTTACTTCTAATTTTGCTTGGTTAGAGTCTTGGTTTGGGAGGGGGAAAATAGAAGAGGCTCAAAACAATGCTGTTTTACTATGTCTGTATATTTTGCTTTGGCATTGCAGGCAATAGTGTAAGGCCACCATTAATATGCTAGTCTGAATCAAATGGTTGAATTATCTTTTTTGTTATATTGAATGTTGACTTTTGGCTTTTTAACTTCACAAATAATGAGAACGGGTGTTATCTGACTGGTTGGATCCTTTTGTGAAATTTGAATTTTATATACTTTTAGTACTTTGTTTTGCCACTTCCTCACAACTGTTATTCATACTTATAGATGCCTGCCAAAAGATAATGTGTTTGCATCTTAAATCTTGTTTTCTTTGTTATGATTTTTTTGTATTATCTTTTTCTTTGTTTATCTGTACCCTTTTGCAGTGTTTTAAAACCTGCTTGGATCAACTGATTGACCCATTGGCCCACGTATCCGATATTCTATGCAATTTGGGTCACCCTTAGATCTGAGATGGAAAACTGGTCTTTTTCTTTAAAAAACACTGAATTCAATGGCTTCCAGTTTCCTTAGGTCTATGATTTTTTATGTCTCATTGGTTCATATACTTTCATTGTTTTGCATATAAGTTCAAACATCTTATCTTTATAATTTCATACAACAGTTAGAGCACATTACAGTAATCCTCAGACAAACTTTTTTTATTGATTGAAAAGAAGCCATAATGTCATCTTACAAAAAAAAACTTATTAAAAGTTCCAAATACAATATTTTTTTGTTTATAAATTACTCTATATGTTTGTGTAATTTTGTATTTATCTTTTAATTACATATGGTGTTATGACTCGACCTATGGTTGAACAATACTCAAATTGGTGACCCTTGATTCAGGTTGATGTCTGGTGTTTTAATGGTTCAGCTTTAAAACACTGCTAATTTGAATGACATTTTAAAATCCATCTCGGTGATCTTTTCTGTTCCTTATTCTTTGATTCGCAAAGGCAGGCCACACTGGGCCTGCTATAGAGAACAGCAGACTTTTACCCCTTTGAACATGTCACTGTCTTGGGGGATTCATGCCCTTTGAGTGGTCCAATTATCCCAGTTAGATTTGAAGTACCACAAATTAACAATGAATCTTAACTATCTTTCCTGTATTTAGAACATCTAGTTGAAAAGTTCTTAAGACGTGACAGAATGGTCATATGATCATATTAGGATTTACATGATATCCGAAATATTCCATCTTCAGGAAGTATATAGTTGGTTTGATGCTTGCAAAGGAGGAAAATAAGATGATTTAATTGTCAGGATATCTAGAGAGCTGATGGAGTTGTCTTTCTTCTCCTTTGCAGGATTTCTTAAAAGTACCAGTGATGCAGTGATCGTTGCATTTTGGGTTTTAAAGGAAGAATTTTCTAGCTAGCGATGATCTAAAGAAAGTAATGCGTAAATTCTATATCTCAACTTGCAAATTGTAGAATTTTGAAAGGAAGCTTGGAAGAGAAAAAAAAAATAGTCCCACAAGTTCATTCCTCATTCCTGTTGGTGTCCAAAGATCTGTCTTTCGGAGAAATTTTTCCATAGCAGCAGGGAAGGCTGTTCAGAAAGGATGATCTTTGTGTGTTTTTAACTGACTAGTAGTTGAATCTGTTTTTGACCTTTTTGGTCTGGATCTTTTGTGGCTTTAGGATGCCATGAAGGCAAACAATGCTGTAACAAAGGTTGTAATTTTTGTTGAGCAAAGACTTACTGTAAAGTGGGCTGGTTGGAATATTTATGCCATATTATTTGCTGGGAGAAATAAAGAAAGCTTTAATTTTTTTCAGTTAAATAATTATGGGCATCACAGATTGTGCTGAAGTTTTGCAAGATGTTTGTGAAAAATGATAGTAGTGGCAGGTGTCAGGAATCTTGGAAGTTGCTTGGCTTATTTGGGCTATGTAGCCAAAAAATAATAAATTTATATGCTAATGTTTCACTTGTGTGTTGCAAGTTGGTTGTTCGTTTTGATCTGAGGCATCTCTTTTTTTTAGGTTATCATTTTTTTCTTTCACTTGACCCAAGTATCGATTTTGTGCAAGTTTCTACAAGCAGCATTTAGAACATGAAAATTCTTCATCATTTTGATCTATAATAATTTAAAATTGATTGTTATGTGATTTCGTTTGGTCTAAGATATTAATAACTATTATACCAAATACATTTTCTTACAAACATTTTTTTATGAACTATGGGAGTTGAGGTTCAATGAGAAGCTAAATTGTGCAAGATGGGATGACAAAAATGAATTAACTAACTGGAATGACAACCCAGTGACATTATGTTGAGTTTGTCGCCTGGACTAGTGTTTTAAGTGTCTAAGCACTTGGGGTTAGGATAAGATCTATCGTCACCAACTCCACACTCTTTATTTGATAACCATGGCGAGTCGGTTTTAGTAGTTGTTTTTTTGGAGAAATTGAAAATGATTGAACACCTTGTATAGGAGATCCAAAACTTTTGAAGTTAATTTGCACACATGACCTTAGTTATTAAGTGACTGTCTAATTTTATTGCTCTTATCATGTTTCAGGATTGTCATGTGAATCTTGTGGGCCTGTGATTAAGTTTATTGAATTCCAATGGAAGTTAATGGATCTACTTGGTTTTGTTTCTTTTCCTTATTCCTGTCTTGTTAGACAGGTATCTTTTTTGTGATCCCCAAGATGCCTTGGTGTTTTTGTCAACTTATTATACCCTTTAATTTTTTTTTCTTTTCATTGATTTTAAATTACCGACTTGGAAGGTCTCTAATACTAAATCACACCTAATCACTGAAGAAATCGATCCTTTTTAGCCCTTGACTAAGATGCATTTTTCTTCTTGAAATTTCGGACCCAAGTCTCAGGAATGACAACCTCAATTGATCCAAATATACATACATACATATATATAGATATGTATGTATGTATGTATGTATGTATGTATGTATGTATGTATGTATATTATTGTTGTTCCATATACCTTAGTTTTTTGGCTGGATATTGTTTGGGTCTCTTGCTATGCCAAGGTGTCCTTGTACACATGGCACATTTTGGTTTGTATCGGTTAGCACGACCCTGTTCCATATTGTATTGTTTATTTAATCCACTTGTTAGAGACAGGATGGTTACTATACTTGAATCCTATTTAATTAGTGGGGTGGTGCTTATCAGTTGACCCAAGATAGGTACTGTGTTGCGTGTACAAGCTAATCATATTGCAAAAGGCACTACGTAAGCGCTAACAAAATGGTACCAATACCCAGAACTGGTAGGAAGCAT